GTCCCAAGCCAGCTCTTAACCAACGTGCCACTCGGCCGGCCCAGAGCTTGCACTCTTGAGCAAGCTCTTAACCAACTGAGCCACTCGCCCGACCCCCCATCATATTATACATTTTAAATGCGTGAATTATGTGGTTCATGAATTATATCTCCATAAAGCTGTTCAAAAACAAAACCTCAAATGAACAACAGTCACATCTGGGTGAAGAAGTTTTTATATGACATTATTTTTCATGCTCTTCTATGCCTTCTATTTTTTCCCTACAATCCACAGTTGTATAACTCACCTCCCCATCACCACCGCTTTTTAGTTAAAAAAGAGACAAAAGAAAGCTGCTTGGGTCTGAGGGAACTATGTCACCATCAGGGCCCTCAGGCCTAGACTCACCTCTTCAGCAACACCAAAATACTGGGTAACATCGCTTCATTCTGGGCCCCAAACTTGGCCAGAGCACTCACAGCACCTGTGTTTACGAAGCACATATTATATACCTGAACACCAGAGCCAACGTCACAAGTGGCTCTGGGTGGATCTTGGTACCATCCAGCTTCAACTTCCTCATCTATTTCATGGAGAAGGCAGACCCAATCTAGAGTTCCAGGAGGCATTTTCAACATTAACTATGATGAAGCCCCCAGGAGCTGGCCACAATGTCAGGCTTCTTAGCTTCTGTATCCAAATGGCGTTAATTCACAGTTAAGCATTAGATTAATATCAATGAGAAAATCAATACTTAATGATTATCAGTTGCTGAAAGAGGAAAATCTGTCCAGTGGGCATGGGAAGAACAGTAAATTAAAAATAAAATTAATAATGATGGTTGCACACTGAACTGCACACTCATTTAAAAGGGCGCATTTTATGGTATGTGAATTATATCTCAATAAAGCTATTATTAAAAAAAGAAATAAAGTTTAACACTAATATAAGGTGAAGCTTAAAAAAAAACCAATAAAACAAACTAGAGAAGCTAAGAACCATTCAACTAGATGATCTCTAAGCATCTAAGGTCCTTCTACATTATAAAAAACTGAGCTTATGAGGCAAAAACACCAAGTGCCCTGTTCCCCACTGGGGGATCAGGCCCCTTTGCCAAAGCAGTCTACTCATGAACAAGCTAAGAGCTCAACTTTGGCCTTGGCTCAGACCCACCTGCCCGGACCTCTTCATGCTCCAAGACCACTCGGTTATAGATGAAACGGATGTACTTTGAGGGGTTGTTGGTCTTAGGCCCCTCCTGGCCCAGGAGATGCAGGATGCGGGTGGCCAGCACAGTGAATTCGCAGTCCTCGATGAATTCGCACAGGTGCGACAGCCCTGTCTCCTTGCTCTCCGAGTTCTCCTCAATGATGCTGATGATGCAGTCCACAATGGCCCGCTTGTACTCAAAGCCACCCTGTAGCAGAAGATTGAGCTGAACAAGGACACTGCTCTCTCCAAAAATGAGCTGTGAGGCTCAGAGCCTAACCAGTACCAGGGACAGTGGTCCACACAGAACCTGGGGGCAAGGGGGACGTGGCTCTCTGTACTCAACCTCCTTTTTGGGTAAAAGGCTTGGACTGAATATTCACTGGGGCCTTTCCAGTTCCAACAGTATTTGGTTTAAAAGAAACATTTTGAGTCTTATTATCTTCCCAACTTTGAGATAAAAGGCAAAATGTGTGGTGCAGATGCTATGGAAAACAGTATGGTGGTTCCTCAAAAAATTTTTTAAAATAGAATTACCAAGTACAGAACACAGTTTCCCATCTTCTGCACAAGCATCGCCTCAGGGCATCTATTGTGTCTTTAAAGTCAGAGCAGTGAGTCATTAGAGTTATTACTGTAATTACTAGTAATTGCTGCATGTTTATCTCTTAGTCCATGAGGAGTTTAAGGGGCCGGAGGCACCAGGAAATCTACATGGTTAACAGGTTGATCATAGTACACCCAAAAATGATCTGCGCATAGAGACAGCAGCCCTGCACCAGGGGCCGTGGCATGCCCTGCATGCCCCCTAGTCTTACCTCTTCCCGTAGCATGGTAAACAGGAAGTTCATGAGGACAGCATGTTTGCGAGGATACTTCTGACACAGGGCACTGATGGCCTGGACAACCACCACCTGAGTCAAACAGACATGTGTGAGCAGCAGCCTCCTATCACCAGGGCCAAGTTACTTAGTTCACTAAGTGCCAATGGAGTCCTTCCTTGGGTAAGACCAGGTTCTGGACACAACACAGGGCAGAGAGACAGAGGAGGAACTCCATCCCCATGGGGAGTATGCAGTGCCCGAGCCCATTCAGGGCAGGGTGTTAGACAGAGCAGTCCCAACAGTCCCAGATCCAGACTCTAGGTCCCCCAAACTATGCTTTGCTACTCAGACCTCAAGGTAAGTCTATGAGCCCCCTTTCCATCCCACTTATCCTGCTTCTCTTCCTTGCTCCTGCAGACCCCACTGTGATTCCACTCCATCAGCTTTTCTGGCTCCTCTTTGAGTATTCTGTCCTTGGTCCTCTATTCTTTTCACATAGTCTCTTTGGCAATCTTATCTCCTCCCGTGGTTTTTTTTTTTTAGAGTTTTATTTATTTACTTACTAGTTTCCAGTGTACAAAGCAATATAATAGACATTTACACCCCTCACAAAGTGATAACCCCTCCAATCTATTACCCCTCTGACATCGCATATAACTGTTACTATACCATTGAGTATCTTTCGTATGCTGTACTCCACATCCTGTGACTATATATACATATATATACAGAGGGTGCCAAAAATATATACACATTTTAAGAAAGGAAAACTCTATTAAAATTGTAATACTCAATATATACCAATAACAAAAGATGAATACAAGTCACGTTTGCCTTCTGGAATTACAAGAGGTGCTCAAAGTGGTTACCTCAGCGTCCAGACACTTCTGATTACAGCAAACTACTGCTTGAGCAATGTTGAAGAAAATGTCCACTTGTATACATTTTTTTGGCACCCCCAGTATTTAATTATAGTTGACATTCAATACTATTCAACTTCGCCACTTTGACCCCCAGATGTTTATCTCTTGTCTGAGCTCCTCCACCTGGTGCTCACAAACTCAACATGTCTGCAGTCACCATCATTACTTTTCCCCTTTCCTCATCCAAGACCTGACCCTCACCTTCCTTCCCCAAACTGATCAATGGCATCACCGTCAACCCAGACTTTGAAAAACATCATTATCTTTGACAACATTCACTCCCTCGGCCCTCACACTATGCCCTGCCAACTGACTGTACAAAGGAACAATGTGGACAAACACCAGAGGCAGAACTATGCATATCTCCCAGGGCGAATCATGTTGAAGGGTGATGTGCCAGCCTTCTCCACTGAGGCCTCAAGCCTGAACAATCTCTCAGGTCAGTCCTAGCCCAGAGGCTAGGGAACATGGAGATGGGGCACAGCGCAGCTTATTGACTCTGGAGACTGTGGATGTTCCCAAGGTACTCTGGGTACCTTGAATTCATCTGAGATCTCTGACATAAAAGAGGAGATCTGCTTCATGAGGCGGTCGATGCTGCTCTCACTGCCAGTCTTCAGGAGGGTGGTGATGGCCAGAGTGGCAATGCTGCGATTTGAATCTGTGACCAAGTTCTCTAGGTCCAGATTACAGGCTGTCACTGCTGATGGATGCTTCATGGCAACCTGTTTTGGGAGGAAAGAGATAAAGAGGACAAGGACAAAAGATACAAAATAGGACTTCTGTCATTTCACTAGATGGGTCTGGCCCAGTCAGCGGTCCCTTAGATTGAGTGCATCTCACTATCTGATGGAAAGTAACAGTGACCAGGGCTACATCCATCCAGGTCAAGTCAGGAGCTAGGAAATACCTCCAACTGGATCAGGTCACCTCCTCTGACCCTCTCAAAAAGCCAGGCTTCCATTCTGCCTACCCTTGGACCCTTACCTTATTTTTATTTATTTTTTTCTAAAGATTTTACTGGGGAATTTAAGGGAGGGAACAGCGTTGGGAAATCGGGGAAGGGGAACAGACAAGTTGCTGTCCTTTTTTTTTTTGTTCTTCAGTCTAGTTGTGGAGGACGTTGCTTCACTGGCCCAAGTTGGCACCATCATTGCGCTCTTCCCAGGCGAGGCAGATCAGTCACCGGCTTCTAGACAGCCACTCACAGCGGCTGCTGGCTGCTCACACTGACTGCTGGCTACACATGGTAGCCCATGGCAACACACTGCAGCAGGGGCTGCAGCCTACGCCTACGCCGTCACCGGCGACTCACGGCAGCCCAGCTCCAGGTTGAGCTGTTGTTCAGCATCTTAGCTGTGGAGGGCAGTGTCACTGGCCCTCATATGTGGGATCCGAACCAGGGCCCTCTGGCGTCCCAAGCCAGCCCTTAACCAACGTGCCACTCGGCCGGCCCAAGACCCTTACCTTATTGAGGGTGCGGACAGCTGCGTAGCGGAGAGCAGCCTTGGGTGAGCTGCAGAAAAGCTGGAGCACTGTGGGGAGACAGATGTCATGTGCCAGGCTGCCCTCACTGCTTGGCAGCTGGTAAACCCCAAACAGGCCTCCAGGGGAGGGACAGGAACAAGTCATCGCTTATGTGCAAGAGGTCTGAGATTGTTCAGACCGAAACCCTCTGCTCGGCTCATTTCCCTGCTGGTACCCCTACCTCAACCAAGGAAGTGAGCTCTCTTCTCCCTCAGTACCTGAGCCATGAGCACAGAGGTCTTAACATACATATGAAAGCTCAGTGGGTCTCGTGAATGATGACAGCTGCTGTTTATTGAGCACCTGCTATGTGCCAGGCACTGTGCTGAGGAGCTGCCGTACCTTTTCTCACTGATTCCTCACAACCCTATGAAGCAGCTGTTATTATCCCCATTTAACAGATAAGGAGACTAAGGCACAAAGGGGTAAAGCAATTAAAGTAACTCCACATTAGCCGTCAATAAATGGCAGAACCAGGACTGAAATCCAGGGCTGCCTGAACCTGAAGCCTGACCCCTGGACCCGTGTGAAATAGAAATCCACTCCTCTCCTGAGGCACATACAGAAACTAATAGAACTTCCTCAGTCCTGGCTTAAACAGCAGCCTCGGTTCCTACACTATATGGGCAGTGTATCTGTCCCTGTGCTTTGGTTGTCAGGAAGCACAGGGCTCCATTCTGCACTGGCTGTAGTATTGAACATGATTACTGTTTTCTGAAGTATCCATGTTCCTTTATTTATAATTTGGTTTTTATTCTTTTACACTTCTTCGGGTCTTATTTTTGTTTTCCTTAAAATAACTCTTACTTTGAAGACTCTATCTTATTTATGTAATTTCATTATTTTGGAAATATGGGGAATACAACAGAATGAACAAACACCCAAATCAGTGAATGAATTCATTTAGTTCTTGTTGTCTCCAAGAAGGGAGACTTCTCTCCTAAACATGAACCCCATCTCTCTGCCTGACCAGGTTACTCCATTATTATGGAGATTAGAAAAACAGAAGGTCCATTCATTCTAAAATATTTGCAACTTGAACTCTTCTGCCATATCTTAGCTTTCACTGGGTTTGTCCTAAAATAGTCTCCCCTTCTCCTACTCTTTGAATCTAGGTTTAGCACCCCTAGAACCTCTCCTTTTTTAACCTTTCAATGTACCCACTTCTGGTATCAAACACTTAGCATATCATCACATGCTTGCTACTCTGATATACAGTGAGATTGCAACACCTAGCACAGGGGCCAGCATAAAGGCACTGAATGCTCAATGACTAGATGTGAAACAACTTGAGGCAATGGATTCTCCTTAATAACAGCAAAGAACACTTGGTGCTAGGCACTATTCTAAGTTATTTGTATAAATCACACAAGTTTACTGCCTACTACTAACCCTATGTAACAGGAACAATTACTATCCACATTCCAGAGAAGGTGAAGTATGGAGAGGATGGATGACTTGCCCAAGCTCACTCAGCTGCTAAGTGGCGGAGCCAGGACTCTGACCTGGGCTATCAGGCTCCAGTGTCCAGGCTCTGAATGCATTCTCTTTTACCTGAGATAGCTTAGCCCCAAGGGAACATGTACTGGTTTCATAATTCCTGGGTTCCTTCACCAAACCCTCTTGTCATGGCTAGCCAGCCCGACAAGATGCAGAGCAGATGTGAATCTCACCTCTGCCACTTACCAGAGCCCCAGCTTCTTTAGTGGTAAGATGGAACTAAAAGTACTGCATCCCCAAAATGTAACACATATAAGAGACCCCAGTTTAGTGCCTCGCACAGAGCAGGTGATTATTAGGTATTGATTCCTTTTCTTAACATTAGACTGTGGCCTATTTGAGGGCATTTTCTTTCTCCCTCGACCCCTAACCCAGGGCCCAGTTCCCAGAAGTCACAAATGTGTAAGGCTGGGGTAAAGAAATGTCTGGTAACCTGACACAGCTGGGGCCAGCTCTTTGGCACTGCAGCCTGGTAGATTGATGATGGCTGAGGCGGCCTCGTACACCACCATCTCATGCTTGTTGCGCAAGCAGCTCTCGATGAAGTCAAACATTGGGCTGTCACGGCTACAAAAGAACACAGGCGACAAGCAATTGGCAATGACTCAGCATGGTGGGCTGAATGAGACATCATCTAGCCAGGGAAGACAAGAGCCATCACCTTCCGTCCTCCTCCTCCAGCTGCTTGCTGGCCACCCGGATCATCATGCAGTAGGCAAAAGGAGACTTGAGGCCGTGCCGGGTGAACTTGCTGATCATCTTACTGACAGCCAGGCGGTCATTCTTACGCACGTGGTATAGCAGCCCCAGTGCATGGTACTAGAGGACAGGAGATAGAAGCAGAGTACAGGCATGTGAAGCCCAGGTCTACTAGATGTGTGGCCATGGGCAGGCCACTGTGTCTCTCCGGGCTTTAGCCTTCTCATTTCTAAAATGGACATCATAGCTGCCTCACAGAGTGGCTGTGACAATGCCCCCAGATGGTCTGTATAGATAGCTCCTGGCACAGTGCTCAACAAACCACGAGTGTATCTGTACCGCTCCCGATTCTGGCAAGGGCCCTGACAGGCATCATGAGTACAGATGTAAAAGGAAACAATGGACACCACAGAGATGAAAAAATAGGAGGAGGCCCGGTGTTTTTTGACAAGAAAAAGGAGGGAGATGGGCCCTGAGCATGCACATGTGTGGTATGTAAGGTGTTATGCAAGACACCTCAGACATGAGACCTTACAATGATAAACCCTACAACACCCCTGAAGGCATATATTCTTAACCCACTGACTCGCCCCAGGATTCATGGCAGGTACTGGCAAAGCAAGGTCAGGAGAGCCTGAAATCCAGAAACTCCCTTCTGGAGATGTAAAGTGCACAGAGTTATTTACTGTCCTTTCTGCTCTTTCTGTTTCCTTACCAGAGTGGCATTCAAGCACTAAGAATGCTGTGGGTGCCTTCTGTACGGGAAGTTTCTCTGACCCTGGGAAGTGTTTCGCGGGGCCACAGCTGGCCCTGGAGATATGAATTAGTGCAAAGGGTGAGGAGAAAGAGATAAACACACAGGGACCACCTACAGGTATGTGTCAGATGGGTCAGATGTTATGGATGCTGTCTCATTTTATCCTCACCGCTTTGTGAGGCAGAAACTTTTATTCCCATTTTACAGACAAGCAAACTAAGACTCACAGAGATAAAAGGCATTCATGGCCTATCACTAAAGAAGAGTTAGGCAGACAAAAGTCCCACCAAGATATTTCCGTGCATCACTAACAGAGCCAGCTTGGCAAAAGCCCTCTGCCTGTCAGGGTCAGGTTTTCTACCTCGCATATCTTAAAACAATTCTCAGTTATTTATCAAAATACTTGACTATTTTGGCATCAAGTGATAAGCAGTCTCTAACCCAAGCCCCCCCACCACTTGGGTTGTCCCAAGTGGTAGCCTAGATTATTTCCCCAAACCTCCCAAATCTCCCCACAATCCAATGACAAAAGGATTAAAGCCTGCTCTGTCTAGGGGCCACCAGGATCTCTGCAGTGAGAGTCCATTCTGACTGGCCAATGGCATGCCATCTGCCTAAGTATTTCCCTTCCCCTTAGTATTTTAAATACTACTGTTCTGCTCACACCTCACCTGGACCATGATGTTATCACTGGATGCTGCTTCTTGGGCCTCATTCACCCAGCGCTTGACCATGTCAAAGCTGCATTTCAGCAGGTGCTGTGGGCAACGGGGTACGTTAAGGAGCATGCAGGCAGGAGGCTCTCCCGTCACATCTCCTGGGCCTGGCTCCCAGTTCAGGTGGGCCCTGGCCTTTCCTCAGACAAATCCTGGGGCCTCTCCATTGTCTTGGTCCCTTGAGATGGTGCACAAGCATAGGATGGCTCCCACCTTCACTCTCCCTGCCCTGGCAGATTGTCTGCCATGCCCAAACTCCAACAATCTGTCACCACAAGGGATGGATTAAGGCCACCCAATGGGCCCCTCCTCAAACAACTCAGTTCCTTAGTGCTCTTCACTGAGGAGGAGGTTGGGACTCTCAGATCTGGGGATACAGAAATATGTTTTTATTTTCTACTGGAAAGTGACTCTGATATTTTCTTCAGTTCCTGATTCCCACCCACCCCCCACCCCTGCCATGCAGGGCTCCGGCCGCAGCTACACACCAGGGAAGACACCAGGGCAGAGCTGGAGACACTGGGCACCTTGTCCACAATAGCTTGTTTCATGTAGCGCTCAATAGCCTGCAGCATGGTGCTCTGTGGGGACAAGGAGTGGGGCAGGAGGGGACGCAATCAATTCTCAGCAACCTTTAGGAATGCAGATGATGGGGTGTGGAGGAGTGAGGCGAGAAGGAAGGAAGCAAGCATGTTTCCTGTGCAACTCACCTCTCACCCTCCAATACCTGGCTTAGTGCTTTGCTCAGGAGGTGGGGGACAACCTAAAGCATGCCAAGGATGAGACTGAACAGCAGGGAAAGAACAAGATGGCTGTGGGGGGCAGCAGACTCACATCCGTGATCTGGCAGAGGGCTCGCACCGCTGGGCCCCGGTAGTTGTCCTCTTTCCCGGTCATGTCCTTTGTCAGGCTGCCGGGGGAGAAGGTGTTGTCCATACACAGGAGCCTGGCCTGTCTTCTCCAAGCCCAAGTCCCTGCCCACTCCTCTCTAGCTCCCAGTACCACACTTGCCTGGATTACTACACAAGTCTCCTAACTAGCGTTCTCTATTTTTGCCCTTTCCAAGCCAAACTCCACAAAGCAGCCAGAGGGATTTTTTTATAAAACTCAAAACTGACCAGGTCACTCTCCTGCTTTTACTGAAACATTTCCAAGGCTTCCTACTGCCATTACCATTAAGCATAAACTCTTCAACAAAAAAGTCCCCAAGAAGGCCCTATGCTTTCTCCTCTCCAGATGTTTGGGTATGCTGTTTCCTTAGCCCGGAACTCCTCACCCCCTCACCTCTACCTCTGTCCTGCTATTTCTCACTCTTTCTTCAGGACTCCACTTAGTTCTTCTAGGAGGCCTCTGCTGATCCAAATTCAAGTTGGGTGCCCTTCTGATCTGCTCTCACAGGCCATCACACATCCCATGGTAAATCATATTATACCCTATTTTAACAGCCTGACTACCTGGTTATTTCTCTGTGAATTCTGGGGCTGCTGCAGAGGCCATATTTGTCTTGTTTGCTGCTCTATTCCAAAAGCTACACACAGGGACTGGTAGACAGTCAATAAGTATTTTCTAAATGAACCTACAAATGAATATATAACACCTCCCTCCCCCGTAAAAAAATACTGTGACAAGAAGAAAGAGATAGAATTGTGCCCCAGTTCTTAAAGGCAGGGATTATACTTTAGTCACACTTGTCTCCTAAATCACTCTGCCTAAGGTAGAAAGAAATACTTAGTAAGGAGGCCTATTTATATACCACTTGTATTCTCTATGTCTGTTTTTCTTGTGGTCTCTCTTGGTACTCACTAAAGTCATTATGAGAGTTGCAGTCTGGCTCAGTTGACTAAGAAGAATCAAAGGAAGGAAGGATTTGTGCCCAAGCTAAGGCCAGACAATTAAAAGGGAAACAGCACACTCTGGAGTTTGCCATGGGGTGGTCAGCGGTAACTGAAGAATGAGGGAGACAGAAGATGAAAGGATGCTTGGCAATATGTCAAGCAAAAGTCTCATTGTCTAGTACACATGAGAAAAAAATGGCCTCTGTATCAATGGAACCCATCAGAACAGCCATCCACAGATCCAAGACTTGCCTACTGGTGACAATGATGACATCCTCTGCGATGCAAGACATCTCCTTGATGGTCAAGTAGCACATCCGACGGAGGGTAGGCTGGGAAAGACATGGGAAACACCCTATGACCTTTAGCCCAGCATGAGGGCCAGGGTGAGGAAAAGAAAATTCCAGAGGATGTACAAAGGCAGTCCACACTGACTGGTGAGGTCACTTTCCCTTGGTGCTCCCACCACCCTGTCATAGCTGTCCCCTCTCAAGAAAAGCTGGGGTTGGGGCACTTACATCATTGGACTGAAAGAGCTTGGTCATGGCAAAAAAGGCCTCCGTTGCTTCAGTGGTACCCAGGTGCTCCCCCTATTTTAACCAAGAAGGAAGTTTCAGCTTCGAACAAAGGGTCCAGAAGGATCTTCCTGCTGGATCAGCCCAGGCCAGACCCTTAGACCCTGCAGAGGCTCCATCAAAGGCAAAACATCAGAGTTGGATTCTGAGGAGACCCAGAGCCGGGCTTTTGGCTACAACCACACAGTGGCTGTTGAATAGCCTAAGGGCTGTTTGATTTTCTCCTCCCTGCCCCCAACATCTCCCAACACCGTTTCTCCACCCCTAAGCATGACCCTGTTACCTGGTTTATGAGGTAAAGGATCTTGGTGAGGATGTGGGCACATTTCCGAGGGTTGATGGGAGTTTCATTAAATACACGGGCCTAAGAAGAAGTGACCAAAGATATTACCTTCTAGTCCAGTTTATTTCCCTTCCATGGACTACACTCAAGCACATTCAAGGACTGAGAAGTCCCAGGGTAAATCAATACACTTGCTTAGACTAGCTTCTTTTCATAAGAAAAGAGTTTTTTTCTTTAATTTACTAACAACTCCTGAAATCTTCCTTAAATTTAAATATCAGTTAAGAACATACTGACTTACTGACTAAAAGATACTTAGTAAATGCTTGTTAACTAAAAAGAGACATGAAGAACCACCACAAAAATGTAAACATGAACTCTCTCCAGGAACAAAGTTTTCCTCTTTTTCCAGAAACAGGTTTTCTCTCCTATTGTTCTTTAAACCTTTGAATGTGTTAGTATTTCAACTGCATCGATAGTAAACATTATGATGAAAGATGGAGAGGAGCAAATGATACTTGCCTCCTGGAGTACTGCACTCTTCTCAAGATGCTGGAATGGGTTGGCGCTTCCACCTGCCGTTGGAGAGCAGAGAAGATTGATTATAAGTTATGACCCTGAATTTCAAAACTCTTCCATACATAAGGGACAGATGTCCCTATTGTCTACAAGTCCAGTCCAAACTCCTCAGAATGGCAATCAAAGCTCCACAACCTGCGTATAGATCCTACCACTCTCCTGCAAGGGGGTGCTCTCTACCCTAAACCACTTACAGTCACCCAGCAGCCCTGGTACAGTCTTTTTGTGCCTTTCATAGTGTCATGTCTTGCATTCCTTTACACAAATGGTACTTAAACCAAGTCCCAACTATGTATGGGGACCACTTCCTCCTAGTGGCTAGTATTTCTTTACACCAGATGTCACATTTGTAATTAATTACATGTGTTACTATTTGGTTGATGTCTGTCTTCTCCACTCTAACTGTGACCATTCTAATATTCCCAGCTTAGGCATTGAGTGTCTCACTTTTCCTACTGCAGTATCAGTGCACTGCAGTAAGTGCTAGACACATGCCAATTCCTGGCATGTAGTAAGTACTCAATATATGTTCGCTGAATAAATGAATGAAAGAGTCAAGGTTCTCAGCCACAGGACACTAGTTCCACAGATAATACCCCAGTTTGGCCAGCACCAACGCATCCCCGGCAAATTCCAAGAGGTAGGACGGAGAAAGTAACAAAGGAGCATCTGCTAACACCCCGGACCGATGGAGAAGCTAAGGCCCAGAGAGGAGCGTGACCTGCCCAAGGTCACCCAGCGAAATGCAGTCCGAGCTTAACAAAGGCGGGCAGTGGAGAATGCTCTGGCTCTCCGAGGCCTGCCACTGACCAGCTGCGGACCTTTGCACAAACCTCTGCTCCTCACTGGGCCTCGGCCTCGGACAGAAGTCCCAAAAGAGGGCTCCTAGGAAGGGTGTTGACAGCCTGCAAGATGGGCCAGCCTGGCCCAGGCCTCGGCCCTCTCACCCGATTCCTCGTCTTTCTTGTCGAATTTCTTCAGCATGGTGGTACCGGCTAGGGGGTAAAACAGCAACCCCCAGCTAGGCTTCCTTGGCTAGTACAAGTGGTCCGGTGGCCGTTCCGTCCAAACTACTTCCGGTCGGCCACGTCGCTCTGCGCTCTGCGCAGGCGCACTCCGCGCTTCGCGCAGGCGCATATTCCGGCCGGGGAGGGCGCGTCTGGGGTTAACCCTGTCCCTGCCGGAGTAGGTTCTGTGGGCTCGGGGCGGGTGGTCGTTGGAGGCCTTGGAGGATGAACAAGGCCTTAGAGTCGGGACTGACCAGCACCCCAGCTTTGCGCCTTACGCCCTCCTTATCTGTGCAATGGGAGTAGTAGTAGTCCCTGCCTGATTGCGTTGTGGCGTGAGTTTAAACGGCTTTCGGAAGTGAGTGCCCCAGCACACTGTCCTGCAGTAGACCCCAATTAATGTTGCATGTTCTTATTATTGTCATCTTATCAGGGAGGCTTCACTGGCCACTCCTCACTTTCAGCCCCCTTCCCCGGCCTGGTTTTTCTCCCTAACTCGAATCACCATCTAACACTCTATTTTACTTGATTGCTTTTATTATCTTTTATTCACAGCGTGGATAATGTTGGCATATAGTAGGTGCTCAGTAAATTCTTGAATGAATTAATGCATGAGTTTGCTCTTATAATTCATGTATGCTCCTGGTCAAATTGTTTTGTACTTTAACTTTCAGGGATCTAACTAAAGTAAAAGATCAACATGGAAACTTCAATGTGATTTTAAAATACTTTTGGTATTTATCTAGGGCTTAACAAGATGCGCCGCCTAGCGCTGGGGGCGGGAAAGCATGAGAAGGGGAAAATGAAACACCACCTAGGGTTTATCTTCCTGGGGACTAGGGCAGGACACCTTGAGGCCAAGATAAGGACAATGCGAACCAAGTGCCAAATCGCACTGGCTAAGGCAAAGCTGAGTCAGGATAGCCGTGCGCTGCTACGCGTAGCACCAACTTGCCTCGGGAGGGGGCAGCCCCAAGACCGACGGGGAAGAGAATGGGCCCTGCTTAGCAGCTGAGGCAGAGACCCGCAAGTGATGAAGGTAAGGATGACAGAAGAGCAGGAGGGAGGGGTAAGTGGAGGGAGGGGCCAGCCTTTAGGGTCAGGCTTTGCTGAGTGAGGCTGCGGGCTAGCGGGAAGCAGGGAACTGGGAGAGCAGATCTTGCGCCAAGGTGAAATTGTCAAGTGCCAAAAAGATGTTCAAAATCTTTAACCAGTAACCCCACCCCTTACCCAGAGGAAATCATACAAAAGAAGAAAATAAAGTTGCCCACTGCAGCAGTTTGCTGCAAGAAAATTGGAAACACCCTAAATGGGGATAATTATGGAAATTATGGTACAGCCATTGGATGAAATATTCTGACCCCCTTATTAAAGAATATTTCTTTTCTGTTTGTTTGGCTTTTATTTTTTAAATTATAGTTGGAGTTCAATATGTTAGTTTAAAGTGTACACATAGTGATTGGATAAAGGGATATTCCTGATGACTTGGGAGGCAATATGTAAACATAATAAATGAGACATTAAAATAGCCTTTTATGTTATGATATTAATTCTATAAAACTATGTACCAAGGGCAATTTTTATAATGAGCGTTACAATGAGAATTGTGGGTTGTGGCTCCAGCTTTTAAGTATGGGCTTACATATAATTGTAGGGTTTTTATTATTTTTAAAAGTAATATAATTTTTCATGATAATTGCTAAGTCTTTTGTAGAAACACAGAATACTGAAAGTACAAGAGAAATAAGGGAAATCTGAATAACATTGGTAGATTGTACCAATATCAATATCCTAGTTGTGATATATTATTTATATTTTGCTACATTTTAAAAATTGAGAAAATCTACGTACTTTAAAATCCGCCCTTTTAAAGGGTGCAATTCAGTGGTTTTCAGTATATTCAGAAGATTGTGTTCATTACCGCTAATTCTAGAATATTTTCATCCCCCCAAAAGAAACCCATATCCATTAGCAGTCACCCTCCATTCCTCATTCCCTCCCTAGTTCCCCCTCCTACCATTAATCTACTTTGTCTCTCTATGGATTGACCTCTTCTGGATAGTTCATATAAATTGAATCACACAATATGTGGCCTTTTGTGTGTCTTCTTTCATTTAGCACAATGTTTTCAAGGTCCACCCATACTGTAGCATGAGTCCGTACTTCAGTCTTTTTCCATTGCTGAATAATATTACATTTTATGGATATACATTTTTTAAGTGTCCTTTTTTTGTTGTTTCAGGTATACAAAAACAATATAATATTAGACATTTACACCCCTCACAAAGTGAATACCCCCCAATCTACTACTCCTCTGACATCAAATATAGCTGTTATAATTCCATTGACTATATTCTCAATTTGTACTCCACCTCTTGTGACTATATCCGGAAACAAACTACTCGTATCGCAAGACATCACTCGTTTACCATTTTAAAATGTATTAGAAATGTTTGCTCGTCTTGCAGAACACTCGCAAACCACGTTACTCGTTACAATCCAAGGTTTGACTAATATATATATATATATATATTTATTTAATTATAGTTGACATTCAATAGTATTCAGCTTCACGTGTATAGCACAGTGGTCAGGCATCTACACAGTCTATGAAGTGTTCTTCCTAATAAGTACAGTGACTACCTGGCACCCTACATAACCTTTACAACATTATTGATTAGATTCCCCAAACTGTATTTCATATCCCTGTGACTTTATTGTGACTACTAATTTGTACTTTCTAATCCCTTTACCTTCTCCCCCATCTCCCCAACACCCCTTCCATCTAGCAACCGTCGGATTTTTTTCTCTATATCTCTGAGTTTATTTTTGGTTGGTTTGTTCGTTTATTCTGTTCTTTAGATTCCACATGTAAGTGAGATCATATGGTATTTGTCTTTCTCTGACTTATTTCACTTAGCATAATATTCTCTAAGTCCATTCATGTCATTGCAAATGGTAAGATTTCATTCTTCTTTATGGCTGAGTAGTACTCCATTGTATAAATGTACCACAGTTTCTTTATCCCATCATCTATTGATGGACATTTCAGTTGTTTCCATATCTTGGCTATTGTGAATAGTGCTGCAATAAACATAGGGGTGCATATATTTTTTTGAAATAGTGTTTTGGATTTCTTTGGATAGATACCCAGGAGTGGAATTGCTGGGTCATAAGGTAGTTCCATTTCCAGTTTTTTGAGGTACCTCCATACTGTTTTGCATAGTGGCTGCACCAATCTGCAATCCCACCAACAGTGCACAAGGGTTCCCTTTTCTCCGCATCTTCGTCAGCACTTATTGTTTGTTGATTTATTGATGATAGCCATTCTGACTGGGGTGAGGTGATATCTCATTGCGGTTTTTATTTGCATTTCTCTAATGATTAGTGACGTTGAGCATTTTTTCATATGCCTGTTGGCCATCTGTATGTTCATTCCTCTTTAGAGAAATGTCTGTTCATGTCCTCTGCCCATTTTTTAATTGGCTTGTTTGTTTTTTTGGTGTTGAGTTGTATGAGTTTTTTATAAATTTTGAATATTAACCCCTTATCAGATGCATCATTGGCAAACATCTTCACCCATTCAGTAGGCTGCCTTTTTGTTTTATTGGTGGTTTTCATTGCTGTGAAAAAACTTTTTAGTTTGATATAATTCCATGTGTTTATTTTCTTTTGCTTCCCTTGCCCAAAGGAATATATCAGTAAAATATTAGTAAGGTTAATGTCTGCAAATTTACTTCCTATATTTTCTTCTACAAGTTTTATGGTTTAGGGTCTTACATTTAAGTCTTTAATCCATTTTGAATTTATTCTTGTATATGGCATAAGAAGGTGATCCAGCTTCATTTTTTTGCATGTGTCTGTCCAGTTTTCCTAGGCCCTTTTATTAAATAGTCTGTCTTTACTCCAATGTAAATTCTTGCTTCTACTGTCATAGATTAAATGACCATATAGGCATAGATTTATTTCTGGGCTCTCTATTCTGTTCTATTGATCTATGTCTGTTTTTAGTCCAATACCTTGCTGTTTTGATTATGATAGCCTTGTAGTTTGATTTGATGTCAGGTAGCGCAGTACCTCCCACTTTCTTCTTATTTCTCAAGATTGCCATGTCTATTCGGGTTCTTTTATGGGTCCATATAAATTTTAGGGTTATATGTTCTAGTTCTGTGAAAAATGTCATTGGTAATTTGATAGGGATTTCAATATATAGCTATTGGCTTATGTAGTATGGACTACCTAAGAACTATATTAATTCTTCCTATCCATGAGAATGGTATATGTTTCCATTTATTTGTATCATCTTTAATTTTTCTCTTCAATGTCTTATAATTTTATGAATACAGGTCTTTGACTTCCTTGATTAAATTTATTCCTAAGTATTTTATTGTTTTTGAAGCAATTGTGAAGGGATTGTTTTCTTAATTTCTCCTTCTGATAGTTTGTTATTGGTGTATACAAATGCCACTGATTTCTGAATATTAATTTTATATCCTGTTACTTTACTAAATTCATTCATCAGTTCTAATAATCTTTTGGTGGAATCTTTGGGCTTCTCTCTATATAGTGTCATGTCATCTGCATATAATGACAATTTTATTTTCTTCTTTCCAATTTGGATGCCTTTTATTTCTTTTTCTTGTCTGATTGCTGGGGCTAGAACTTGCAGAGCTATGTTGAATAAAAGTGGTGGAAGTGGGCAACCTTGTCTTCTTCCTGATCTTAAGGGGAATGCTTTTAAGTTTTCCCCGTGAGTATGATGTTAGCTGTAGGTTTATCATATATGGCCTTTATTATGTTGAGATACAATCCCTCTATTCCCACTTTGCTAAGAGTTTTATCATAAATGGATGCTAGATTTTGTCAATGCTTTTTCTGCATCTATTGATATGACCATATGGTTTTTATTTTTCATTTTGTTAATGGGGTGTATCACATCAATTGATTTGTGGGTGTTTAGCCAACCTTGCATACCAGGAATGAATTCTTCTTGGTCATGGTGTATGATCTTTTTATATATTGCTAAATTCGGTTTGCTAATATTTTGTTGAGGATTTTTGCGTCTATGTTCATTAGGGATATCAGCCTATAGTTTTCTTTT